AGAATGAGCTGACAATAATGGGAATTTTCATATTTAAAAATATTTCTCAACAGAATTTGTGTTTTGTTATCACGCAAATCTAATAAAGAGTGTTGATTATTTCCTGGCTTAGGCCTACACATGATCTCAAACTGAATTTGGGGGGCGGGGAATGAAATCATGTTTTATTTTTCCTAATGTTTTCTTTGTAAATATAATAACTATGTAAAATTTTGATATTAAATCTCTCTCTGTATAAGTAATATGGTTCTAATCTATTTTCAGAAAGTACTTATGTTTTCCTTAAAGATTTTCAGTTTTCTTGTTTCATTTTATCCTCAGTAGATTAATTTTTCCTAAAGTCACTGCAAGTAACATTTAGTTCGTTCAAAAGTCATATAGACTTTTTCTATTTGCTTAAAAGTAGCAAGTGTTTTATTTACAAAATAAAATAAAATAGCTCCAAAATAAATGCACATAAATATATAGAAGCTCCTGAAATTATTACTGAACTTGTTGAAGACAGATTTTTTAAAAGTGAAACTAAATATAGATTTAAAAAAAAAATATCCCCAAATCATCAATCTAAATATTTCCTAACATCTCTTAAAATAATGTATCTGCATTTTTAATTCTAACAGAATTGTTACAGGTTAGCCTCACTGGTCTATTCAGCATAGAAACATGCATAAAGGTAATTTCAGAGACAGATTTTAAATATTAGTAGAAATTTAACGGGGCTTATGTGTTCCAATTGGTCTTTTAAGATAAGACACAGTTGTACAACTAGGAAGATGCTGAAGTGAATTGCTCTCAAAATCCCTTTAAACAACTTAGGTCCTCAAGTCTCCATCTGTCCCAAATTGTTTTGCAGTTTGACGAAAATGCTGTCTCTTCAAAAACAAATTTTGCATTTTGCTGTGAAGAGTCACTGATAAAATGTGTAAGCAGCATAGGGAGCAGAGGTCTAATAAGACTATCATGGTCCTTTCTTGCCCCTGCACCCTCAGAAGGAATGCCTGGTAGTTACTGGGATATAGATTTTGACAACTTACTACCTTTCTGTTTGCTTCAAGTCCTGTGCTCCTCCTTGCACTGGGACACAGCACAACTGTGAAAGGGATCGTTGTCTTCACTCTTCTGAGGTGAAAGCCATAGGAACATCTATGAAATGGGAGATGGGGGTTCAAATGTTCATCTTATGGACTGAAGATGAGTTTCACAGCAACAAAACAATGCTTTGTCATTCTGGTTCTTAACAAAACTTTGTCAGAAAATTCTGGAAAAGTGAAGGAAGCCACGGCTTAAAATCTGCCTCCCTCTTCAGCACTTTCAAATCGAATGATTTAGACTTGTCCCATGTGTGTGTTGGGCAATAGGATTTTCATTTTAATAATTTGTATTTTCATTCCTGTTTATTTAACAAGTTATAAATTTTAATGTTTAAGACAGATTTTCAAACTTTACTCTTCAAATCATAGGTCTATATATTAATGGAAATGGTCTAATGTATAGCTTTTAAGTTCAAGCACACCAAGACTTCAGCTAGTTAGTTCTGGGTAGAATAATTAAATCAGCTACTGCATAAAACAATGCTGTATGTAATGAAGTGTATTGATTAAATAAATATGATTAAGTGTATTGACAGCTATATGTTATTTGCAAAGCATTTATTAAAAGACATACTTGACATATAGAGGTTATTTATTACCAGAAAGGGTCACTGCAATTATAGGAAATTAGCAAGATACCTTATTAAAAGGTGCAAGGAAATGGGATGATTTCAGATATGGTTCTCTCACTGTTTCATTTATTTCTGTGGTTGGATGAGTTACAATGTTTGTGATTTTACTGATAGCTCAGAGAAGATAGGTATAATTCAGTATTCATAAGTGTGTGTTGTAAGTGAGGTGTAAAAAGTACCATAAGGTCTTTCTCATTGTAATGAAGATCCCATGTATCTTTAATTATGAAACATTCACAATAGTATTGTACATAGACCAGCAACACAATCAAATCACAATTATTCACATGTTAATATTGGTTTCACCATTTGAATTTCTGCAGCATGTTTTCCTGACTGCTCATTTGAATATGAGAGAACCCATCAGACAACTACTTTGCTTTGTGTTATAAAAATATTGTAAATTTGCATTGCAAAGAACTACAAGTAAGAAACATTCAATGTCCTATTCAAAGTCTATTTAAATTAGTGGATAGCAAAACTGGGCAAAAATAAAATAAGGATTTCTATGAAATAAAAAGAGGACTAGTTCACTAAATCCCATGTTAAATGGCTAAACAATAGAGGAAATACAGAGTGTAGTACTCTGGTGTTTTGAAAACAGTTGTGATGGTAATAATTAAAGAGTCTCATTGCGTATAATTTTCATACAAGTCCTGTCTGGCAGAAGATTTTCTGTAGATTTTGTCCCCTTGTCATTTTTATTATCAGTGTATCTGTTGTGCCAAAATGTACCAGCTCAAGTCACAATACTGTATTAAAAGCTATATAAAAATACATTGAGAAACAGTTCTTAATAAAAAAAAAAAAAGCAAGTCTGAAAGTGGAAACAGAGGCATAAAAAAGTGTCTTACTGAGAGTTATATAACAGGCTAGTGGAAGAGACAGGTCTACTAGCCAAGACTATTTTTAGTAGATCAGTGGTCTTGTGAGATACTACCTCTGTATGCTTAGTAAAATCAGTTCAGCTACCCAGACAACATTAGCAAGATTGTAAGAATTATATAGGGATAGAAACAGCTTTTTTTTGCTGAGTCTTCACAAAGGTGAACACATTACTGAGCATGTTAAATTTTCCAAACAGAAGTGGTACTTGCACTGAAGTGTTGCTCATCTTGGCACCACAGGAGATACCAGTGGTTCCCTGTTCACCAGCTACTTGACTGCATTAACTTTTATCTTTATGCCTAGCTATTCTACCGTGGTACCTCTTCAGTTTGTGTCATTAGGGCCGTTTAAGCTAACCTGGCTGTGCTATTGTCACCTTGACTCCTGTGTAAATATAAATATATCTGAGGTGGGTTTAAACTTGTTAGTTCTCAGATAATATTATTAGTCTACTTTATGCCAACATGGAGCTCAAAATCTATTATATTTACATTTTGTAGGTGATTTGTCTTCAAAATATTATGGTACCAAGAGTACTATTATTGACTGTTCTCAATATTCAGGTTATAATATATAAATATAGACATGACTTCATCACGCATGATCTGCATGGCAATATAGAAATACACAGTATTGAATCTGTTGTATGATAAAATTCAGAGGATTTTGCTCAAAGCAATTTTCCTGGTTTTCCATTATGAAATTTGTGCATGTATACAGTATCCTGTGTTTTCAGAATTTATTTAAAATTTATAAACTTACAATTATTTTTTTTTCTTGTTTTCTACAATGTTTTCTCTAAATGTTGTCATATGAAGTAAGCTGCCATATTAAGTTGTTAAGCAAGTGAAAGCTATTTGACTGATAGCTCCACTGCATGCATTCGTTTAATAAAGCAGACAGTTTGCTAGGACTCAGAAGGACTGCTCACATGTCTCCATTATACATTCTTACCTGAAGGGTGGGGTTTCGATCATGTGTGGTGGAGACAGTCAAAGTTCTGATGGCTGCAGCCATGGCTATTTTATTCACCAAGAATTGTGTGGAATTCAGTAACAATGGTTTCTTTTTTGGTAACTCTAGCTTAATATATGGTAGATATTGACTTAAAATATTAAACTTCTGCTAGTTAGTGTCAAGATCTAGGTGTCCAAAATGGAGGTCATTACTCGTTTTCATCTTGAAAAATGAATTGAGCTTTAACTGTGAGCAGTACTTAACTGGACGCTCTTCTTGCCTGAGCTGTTACTGTGGTATGATCAAAAGTATGAACAGGTTAAAAAATAGTAACATAATTCTTGGCTGTAAGACATGACCTATATTTGACTACTGTTTAAATTACCTCTTTCTTAGAAAATAAGTTCTCACTATTTAGAGGTGTGCATATTTTTTACATTTCTGTTGTCTAATATAGCCAAACAAAACCCAGCAGTGACATGGGAAAACTTTCATTTTACCTCCATGTAAGTAAATGGATGTAAATGGACAGACCTGTTGGCAAGTGGAATTTGCATACGTATTAAGAAAATCAGGTGCACTTCAGAAGTGTGAGGCTAGATGAACACAGAAAGTGTTGCTTTTTTTTTTTTTTTTTTTTTGCTTCTTATTTTGCCAAATCTTTTCCAGGAAGAATGTGGGTATTTCAATTTGAGATATGCCAGGATGCATTTAGACTTGTAACCTCAGAGGGAAGAGCAAAGCAGCAAGTAAATCTCTGTTCCTATAATTAAGGAAATTTGTTTTCATACTTTTTAATTCTGGAAACATAAGCCACCTGCGCTTCCCCCTGTCTTTTCTCTTTTCTTTTTTGTACTGAATTAATAGAGAAAATTGTTCTAATAGAAATGTATTGATTGCAGTAAATAATTGTATGTTACCTGCCCTGCAATCCTCACAACTGTCAATGGTGTTTAACTGGTGAGAAATGTGCTCTGGCTGACACTTATCAAACAAAAACATAGTTGTCTTTCATTTTTAGAGTTTGTTCTCTACATGGCCTTGAATGTTCATTTCTTTGACATAAGATAATGATTCATTCATGATCTTGCTTTGCAGTTTCCAGAGAGCTAGGTACTTAAAAACTCAACACTGAATTTCTAAGCAAAAATCCACTTATGATTACAGTAAAGCTTCACTATCACAGCATCGTATTAAGAGATGTATTGGTATATTTTATATCTATCAAATAAGAAGTTTTAATTTGATTTATGAACAGTATTTTAAAATGTGCTACCTTGGTTTTATTGATAATAATTTTTAGAAAGTGTAACTCTTATGAGTCTAGATTCACCTTAAGTGAAAAATTAAAAGTGAATTATTGCTGGAAAAATCATCCAGAGACAGTGGTAACTATGATTTGAAATGTAATTCTCTTTGTTGTTTATTTAAGGGTTAAAACCAAGTGATCCAACCATGACTGGCAAAACACAGACCAGCAACGTCACCAATAAGAATGACCCAAAGTCCATCAACTCCAGAGTCTTCATCGGCAACCTGAACACAGCCATTGTCAAAAAAGGTGACATCGAAGCGATCTTTGCAAAATATGGGAAAATAGTTGGCTGTTCAGTGCACAAGGGTTATGCATTTGTACAGTACATGAGCGAGAGGCATGCGAGGGCTGCCGTGGCAGGAGAGAATGCCAGGATCATCGCAGGGCAGCCACTAGGTAAGGGCTTGCTCATATAATTAAAATATCATTTTCGTTTTCCTTCTATTTGAAATATCATCTGCTGGTGGTGCTTGGGAACTAGTAAGCTTCTTTTGCCATTGTTCCATCTAAGCATATTTCCAGTATGTTGGATCTGGCAGAATTTTCAAGGTATTAGATGTTACCTAGATACTAGCTCAGTGATTCTGACTTCTTTGTAATTCTCTATGTAGTGAACATTGTAGTGAACATGATTATTCATATGAGGAAAATGTAAGTATTTTCTCTTAGACTCTAGTAAGTAAATTTAATGTAATATGACAAGACTGTCTAATAGATGTGGTTATCTTGCATTTAATGAATTGAAAATAATATCCAGCCCAGTGGTGTGTCAGATTTTATACAAAAGTAAAAGAATGAGTTTTGTCAGTTCTTGAAATTGTACCAAATCAAACGATAATGTTATTCATTTAGAGAAGTTTATTATTAAAAACTTCTCTAAATGATTTGGTTGAATTAATATATGTTGAAGTTATTCCCACACAATGTTGTCAACATTGTTCATCTGAACTCCAAATTTAAGTGTAACATTTTTGTTTTCTAATGTTTTGTCATGAATGCTTATGGAAGATCTCATTGTTTCTTATTGCAAGTGTTACCTTTGAAAGCTGTTTTCAATTAGATATGGAAGCTGTCAGTGATAAAATCATGTGGAGTACAGTACTAACCCCATCTGTCATATATATAGTAATGATGGACAGAACAGCAAGAATTTTGATAGGAGCCAGAAATCTTTCACTAGACCTCTGACCTATATTGCTCAGATCCAAACCCATGTGTGTAATGGTTATGTCAGGAAAAGGTGAAGTGTAGCTAGTGCTTTGGCTGTAACAAGTCATAAAGGATGGATACGGCTTATTCATTTTAAAAGTCTCAGGCTGTGGAAATCTATTTTTCTGATTATTTGTAGAAATTGAGGGTTTTGTGTTAGATGGGTTGTTGTTTTGTCACAGTTGCTCAACAGTAATTTTAAGTTTTATAACCCCTGTATTTTGGGTTCAAAAGAAAAACAGATTAAAGAAATCCAATTACATTTTAGGGGAAATTACTTTACATCTTTTTTAGGAAGAGTTAAATATATGAGTGAAATAAAAGAACTCAAGTGATAAAAGCAAGGCAGCAAAGTCAGTCTGTGGGATAGCATTATTAGATGTTTCCTGGAGCAGTGGTCTCCGAGCAATAGGCCATGTAATGCCATCAGTGCATTATTTACAGCTCTTTGCACACTGGTCTGACCAGATTTTTTAAACTGTGTTTTCCTAAGGCAATACATCTGTTATTACTATGACTATTGTTGCTAGTCTGTTTTAGTATTTTTTGTGGCATCTATAATATGCCAAATGCTTTGTAAAAGGAGGTGTCCTTGCTCTACTCGGAGTATTTTTGTGCTTTGTATAGAAGATAAGTTTAGTTGCTGTAAAAGAAATTAAGGTGACAATAACTACTTGAATTGTTCAATTCTTAATAATAACATAAACTTTATTCAATACTAAGTTTCAACTGTAAAATCTTAAAATACTTTAATTATTCTGCAAAGTCTTGTGAATGGCATATTTCATGCCTCAATTCCTGATGTATCAAGGAATGTAAAGAATAAGCAAGGTGAAATTATCTTTTAGCTGTTCCAAACATCATTTACTCTTTCTGTATATGAAATACAGTTGTCATTGGTATTGTTTGACAAAGAAAATGACTTTGTAAAAGTGGTACTTCTCATTAGACAAACTGTTTCCCTGAATTCTTTTTATTAGCAGTAGACATTAACAGTCTTCTCAAAATAATGAGGACCTGATAGTTAACATTTTATTGGCATTATGACCCAGAAGAATAACTTATGTGAAAACTGTGTGTTTGAATAGAATGAAGTAACAGGTAGACTCATTACTGTGAAACTAGTCAATGAAAAATTATTTTCTTCTCTGTTCTGAGAGCCTTGCTTTCTGAAATAAACAGAACACATCATTTTATAACAACAGTTAAGGTATGGAAAGATGACAAGAAAAGCCTGTTAGAGAGGTACAAATAAACTTGATTAGCATAGCTGAATTTGCTTTTAAATGGAATTAGAATATAGTAGTAATATAATGAGGGCTGGATGGTAGTCAGTTGTGGAAAGCTGTCTGAACAAAAGAATATTTGAAAAAGATTATCCCAGAGTATATGCCTGATACTACTATACACTCTGGTACTCAGTACCTCACAAAAGAAGGAACAATTTCATTTAGAATGTATTATTAATCTACATTAGTTCTTTCATGGTTTTGGCAAAGTGACCGTTTATGTTAGCTCCTGTCTTCTCTGGAGTCCTGCCATTAAAATTATGATATCCTTTACAGCAGGTTTACCTGTGAGACAGAAACTGTTCACATGTATGTAACTGAATTAAAAATTGAACCTGTAAATTCCTATATCTATATACCGTGCTGCACAATTCACTGAAGATCCTGTCTAAATGTTTCTTCTGAGGTGGAGTCCCAAAGTGTTAGGGTCTATAGGTACATAACAAGGTATTTTGTTTAACAAATTATTCAGAAGTACAAATCTAAAGCATTGGTAGTGCCCTCAGCCTTGCCAGCTTCCTGTGAGTCATTATATTTTCCTGCTGGACTCCTTGGACAACTCTCAAGTTCCTATCAATATGTTTGGTGACCAGTGGTGTGCAATGGCTATGTTGTGGATATTGTAACTTCAGGGAAGTGAATTTCATGAGCTGTGTGATTATTTCCAAGTTTTCTGTTCCATGGAGTGCAACACGCTCTGAAAAGCTGTGGGGAAGAGATCGTAAAGCAACACAGAAAACATGCTTAAGAAATTTATTGATATTATTGTGAAGTTAAGTGTAGTTTCTTGAAGTGATATTATATCTTCATGGAAATAACTTGTTTTCCTGCCCGCAGAGCAGGGGCAGGTCAGCATTGGGCACAAGAGTCTGATGGTGATTATTTTGTGAATTGCTTCAGGCTGGAGCCAAGAAAGTGTTGAAGTTGGTCTAGGATAAAACTGCAAGTTATGTTTCCTGTTGTGGGAACACCCCCACATAATCCCCTCTACTGTGTCACCTCAAAAGTTTTTCATCCATTTAAACACATCTATGAGTTAGAGAACATTTGCCCATATTTGCCTCCTTGACACTCAGGACAAAGAGACAGTGTGAATAGGAGTTTTTCTGAAGAAATATTGAGTCTGTCCATGAGCTTTACCAAGGGTGATTTCATCGCTCTGTGGTGAGAGAACTAGATACCTGCTTGCCCCAAAACAAATGGTGCAAGTCCCTCAATGCAGCTGTGCGTTGAGCGAGCTGCAGCAAGAATGAAGCTTTTGGGCACATGATGGAGAATACAGTTCTTCACCTGATGATTTTGCCTGCCTTTGTATTTTTTCACAAGTGTCACAGCAATGTTATTTTAACTTCTTTATCCATTCCAGCACACATGAATTCTGTGAAGCCAAATACCACATAAAAAGCATTTTAATGTTTCATAACTTTATATTATATATTCCTGTTTACCTTACATATTTGGAAAATATATGTAACAGCTTCCATCTAAAATTCAGGCATAGCTATCATAGTAGTTTCTATATCATAATGGCCCTTTGATTTGCTTGGTTTGTAGCTCATAGCCTTATTTTATACTTATATGACCTAATTTTTTTAATCTTTCATGCACATTTTTAAACCAGCATAATTCCTTTAACATCAGAATATGTTTTGATTTGCACCAGAATAAGAGCCAAGACACCTAATAGGCAAGCTAAATACTGCAAGGCTAGTACTTTTGGTCTCTTCTTTTGCTTTCTTTAAGACAGTATGGAGTTTCATTCTTGAAGGTTAGGAAAAAGGAAAAATTTACAGTACCAAGAGTATGAAAGACACTGCAGTTCTTTAGCTGATGCCCCTTTTAACTAATAAATTAGTTCTATTGTATCTTCAATCCTGTTTTGTTGCTATAAGTATTATTCACATACATCTGCCTTCAGGTCTAAATTAGATGTAGTCTCTGAGTACCAAGTGAGTGCATATTGACATGTAGTCTAAGGCAAGATGGTGGTTGCAGACAATTATTTTGGGTGACGTACTCTATTGCACACCCATCTGAGAAGCACAGAAGCCCTGCAGGGGCTTTCTAAACAATCACTACCCAGTAGAAAACATCCAAGGAGAAGAGCTGGTAATAAAGAGAGCCTTTATAGAGTCTCGACATATGCCTTTATTGTAAATTGAATTGGTGTGACAATAGGGCTGGTTTTCCTTTTTTTCCCCTTGACTCTACTCAAAACAGACCTTCTCTATGTTATATTTGTAATGTGTAGCAACACTGAGAGAATTAACTACATATTTGCAGAACTAGGACTATCCAGAGTAAATCAATTTTTCACCCCAGTCTGAAATCCAGACAGCATTAATTATGTCATGAATATTTTTATTTAAAAAAGAATAAATATTTATGCTGTTTTAGTGAACTCATTTGGGAAAAATGCACTTTAACTTGAAAAATAACAAATTTATCCAAGTATTCTTTATGACTAAACTTTCTTACACCAATGGTACACTAAGACAGGAAATTCAAAACTGAGTTAGTGATTATTCAGTTTTAACTTTGCCATCAGCCTTCAGTCAGTAACATGAAAGTCAACAACAATCATTCCTTTATATGAACATAACTTATTGAAGCAACCTTGTTACTTTTACCTACCTACCTCCAACTACTATAATGGCAGGATATACTTGTTCAGGATAACAGGAAAGCAATGCTATCTTGTTTTAAAGTGTATAGTAGAGGAGCAAATAATTTTTCTTATTTTCCTTCTGACAAGTCTGTAAAGACTTAAGTTTTAATGTTGATCAAAACATTCTAGGCAATGACATTAGCTGTTTTAGGGAAACCCTAGAGTTTGTACTGATGCAATGAAAAAGTGCAAATGTTTTGGTATTTTAACATGTATTTTAATGAGACAAT